ACGTTTTGTCTAAAATCTTGATATAAATCAAGTTTTTGATCGGTTACTTTTCCCACTCTAGAATTTTAGTAAGTTTAATGTTACTCCATTTACTTTGAGAACAAACAATGTTAAAAATAGTACAATTTTTGAACAAGGGTGCATTTTCAGTGACGTCATCATGAAACCCAATAAATAGAAGTCTATTTGAAATTACTGTAAATATTTGCTCTTTTTACTCCTAACTGCTCTGAATCAATATAGCTTCAAGGCCAGTTCAGAACACTTTGGAGCTACTTTTTATTTTATTTTTTCATCCTATTTCACTATTTAGTTGTCCCGAACAGCCTTAAAGCTCACTCTGGAGCAAGATTCTTTTGATAAGACACTTTTCAAAAGGTATCTGTGCATTTTTCATTGTTGTAAGTTATCCAGGTTTCTTCTACAAACTCACTCTAGAACAGTTTCGAGACGAGTTTTTCATTTATAGTTTACTCTGGGGCACTTTTAAAGTGTTCAATTTGAGTGTTTTCTTCGACGTGTGGCCTTAAAGATGCTCCAATAAGAATGTTGTTTATTGCTCTAAATTGTTCCGAACAATTTTAAAAACTCACTCTAGAGCACAGTTTTTTAGTAGGTAAATACCTTCTTTATTTAGTTTGTATTTCAAGTCTTTTCGAGTACTTCTACAAACTCACTCTAGAACAGCAAGTAACTTATTTTAGGTAAGAATTTATTGGTGATTGTTCTGAAATAGTTTTAGAGTAAATTGCCCTGAACTGAAAGTGGATCTAGAATTGTTCTGGGACTGATTTAATAGCACCAACAATAGCTCCGAACACAAAATTTCTCTTTTCTAGAATAGTTCGAAAATTCATTTGAGAACAGTTCTGAACACAAAACCTATATTTTTTAAATTTATTTCAGGTTAAAATTCTATACCGAATGGTTCTAGAGTGAACAGTGCGCACTGAAAATAAATTTAGAGTTGTTGTGGGGATGATTTGATGATTTTTGAGAACAGCTCTGAACACAAAGTTGCTGTTTTTTAAACAGTTCCAAAAGTGTTTTCAACTACAGAAATGGCAAAATGCCTGAAATAATCAATTGGACAATTTTAATGACGTCGTCATCAGTACGTGTCTTGTATCTTAAGTGGCCAAATGCCTGAAATAATCAATCATTAGATAATTTTAATGACGTCATCATCAGTATCTTGTTTCCTAGGTCGCTAAATGCCTGAAATAATCAATTACTAGATAATTTAAATGACGTCATCATCATTACCTTGTATTCTAGGTGGCCAAATGTCCGAAATAATTAATTAATTAGATAGTTTTGACGACGTCATTATCAGTATGTAGTATGTGTTTAGTATCCTAGGTGGCCAAAAACCTGGAATAATTTAATATAATAGGTTGCTTGGTAATGGGTAACTTGATGACGCATTTGAGGGAGCCTTATGGAAATTTGCATTATATTGAGAAACTCAGATGACGTCATAAAGTCATTAGGCAACGTAACATCCTTGAGAATAACTAATCAACTAGATAATTTCAATGACGTCATCATCAGTACTTAAAAGTAGATTCCAAAGGTTTTATTTCAAATAGAATCGATTCAGAGTCAATGTCAAGTTTTTATTAAATAGCGAACCACTTCAGAACAGGTCAATCTTTAGAACACATTTTGGAACTGATTCTAGTTGATCTGTTTACATTGTTTGATTACGAACCAGTTCACACTATAGAACTTTCCAATAAAGTTTAGAACAGGTTTTTACTCAATCTTTAGAACAGTTAGAACCAACTTGGAATTGATTCTAGTTGAACCGCAAACAAAGAACGGTAAATGTATTGATTTGGGACAAAAACTGTTCAATTGTGAACCGAATATTCATAAAATTAGTTCGGAATCGATCCGGGGCCGGTTTTTAGAGTAAATAGAGTAGGATTTATTCATTAAAAAGATTTCACTTTTAATAATTAAACAAGAACTCAATTACTCTATTTGCCATACTTGGAGTGCTCTGAGCGAGCAAGTCGTTCGATATTGTATTATTTTTGACTCCTTTGGAGTAAATAGAGCAAGTTTATTTACGTTCAAATATTAAGAAGTAAACAGAGTAGACTACAGAGGTTCTATTTCAGATAAGACTCGATGCAAAGTCAATGCAAAATACGATCTGGAACAAGTTCAAGGTTTTTTGATGTTCGGAACAGTAACCGAATTACTCCGAACTCTGCATCGATCAAATATAATTGAAAAATTAGTTCATAATCAATTTAGAACTGGCTTTAATTGAACTGCCATCGCAAAAGAATAAATTCAATATGCTCTAGAACAGCAATCACAAAACTCAGAACCTTAACAATTAGTTCGAAAATGATCTGGAACAGATTCTTAGAACAAATAGAACATAATACTTTTTTATCGAGCTCGAAACGAAAAAGAGTTCGTTCAATGTGTTCTGGAACAGCAATCGCAAAACTCAAAATCCCCATAATTGGTTTCAAAATTACCTCAAAATTGTTCTAAGTGAACTGCGATCAACAAGCTTGTGTTCTGGGTTAGTTTGGTAACGTAACTTTTCTAACTGTTCGGAAATGGCTTTTTAGGGTAAATACCAGTAGTTAAGGTAACTAAAAGACATTTGCGAGTGCGAATAATCTCACTCTATTTACTCCGAGAACAATTAGTGCAGTATGAAACAGTCAAATAAAATTACAACTTGGGCCCTCCAGAGTACTCCATATTCACTCTAACTGTTCGAATATTCTGTTTTTAGAGTAAATATACGGAATTGCGTAATAAGAACTCACTCTAAAGGTTCTCGTTCGTGATCTGAAATCTTCGAAATCCACATCTTTCACTCTTTTCTTGTTACCCGAGTACAAATAATCTTACTTCGAACACAATAGAGTCAAAAAGAGTTTAATCCCAAAAAATTTGGTTACTCGAAGTACTCCAGAGTTACTCCAATTGTCAAAATTCGAGCAAAAAGAGTAATAAGAACTAAAAGCGCAATTTTTCTTTCTCAAAAAAAAACCGCTCATTTTCAGTTCTGGGTCGCTGTTTTCACTCTAAATAATCTTTCTCTATTCACTCCAAATATGGAACACGAACTTTATGTGCTCTTCTCATTCTAACCTTGCGTTCGATATTTTACTCAAAGAGCAAAACGTGCAGGCGGAGCCGTAATCACGAGAACAATGAGCGCACAGTAACTGCTCTGTACGCCGTATCAGAGGGCTCGAAATTTTTATAAACGAACCATAGTTCATTTGGAATAAACTTTTTCTACTCCAAGTCAAAGTACGTCGGTTGAATGGACCCAAATGTCAAAAAAACCCACGAAAGAACACTTTTTTGCCTCCACTCCAACGTGAATTAGAGCGTTCGGAGTTGTATCTTTCCATTTTTTTTTTTTAATAATCAAAACGCCAATAATCTTTGTTCACTCTGAGTAAAATATTTGAACCGATGCAGTTTGAAAGAGTAAAAAGAGTACAATTTCCTTTTGCTGAGAACCTAAAAAAATGCTCTGAATCGCTATTTTCACCCCAAAAACACTGTTGTGATACTACTCCAACGTGAATTAGAGTATTTTGAGTAAGTGACATACCTGAACCGATGGAGTGAAAAAGTACTCCGAAGAAAAATTGATTTAAAGTAATTTAAAGTAATGCTGCACCAAGTTGTTCTGAACACTCTGGAGCAAGATAAAAACAATAATTTCATACTTTATAAGCATCAAAAACAACTTTTTTGTTCCAAGTACAGCTGAAATTTACTCTAGAACAGTTTCGTAATATAATTTGGAACAATAACAGAACACTACTCAAACAATTTAGAACACGATTTTTCGAATTTATGGACTGTTCTAGAATCATCTGGAGTAGCTGTATTTAGGATACAAGACACGTACAACTAAGATACTTAAACACGTACTGATGATGACGTCATTAAAATTATCCAAATGATTATTTCAGGCATTTTGCCATTTCTGTAGTTGAAAACACTTTTGGCACTGTTTAAAAAAGAGCAACTTTGTGTTTAGAGCTGTTCTCAAAAATCATCAAATCATCCCCAGAACAACTCTTGATTTATTTTCAGTGCGCACTGTTTACTCTAGAACCATTCGATATAGAATTTTAACCTGAAATAAATTTGAAAAATAGAGGTTTTGTGTTCAGAACTGTTCTCAAATGAATCAAAAACCTTCAAAAATGTGTTCCAGAGTAGAAAAAGTAAAGTAACAATCTATTTGAAACGGTTTTTGTTGGGTCTGCAAGGGACGTCATCGCATCTTTTATCAAGGATTTTCATCAATCGAAAAAATCAATTTTGGGTTTTTAGTATTTGTACTCTAACTGTTCTTTTTTTGATTTATTTAACTGTCCCAATTACCCTGACTGTTTTAATTCTGTTCCACTCGATTTAGCTTACTCTAAGTATTAGATTTTTACTCCGAACAAATTTGCTAAGTTTTAAGTCGCTTTTTTGGTCGTTTAAATAAAAAACAATACTCTAAAACATCGATTTGCATTGATTCTACACTTGCACTAATTGCACTTTCTGCTCTAAATTAATAAAATACTGCACCAACTCTGCCCCAATTACTCTGATTGCACTGATTTTGCATTTACAACGCATTAAAAAACTGTTCTGACCTTTGCACTAAGTGCAAGAAAGCTTCTAAATTTATTGTTCAAATAGGGCATTTTTCGATCTAAGAACACAATAAATAGAATTCTATTTTAGTCGCAATATTTTCTTATGAAATAGATTTTTGAAATCCATAAAGTAGAATTCTATTTATCATAATTTTTGTATGGTTTTAATTGATATTTGAAATTTTTGACTTTTGTGTATATCAATAATGTTGAAAAATAATAATCAATTTGCAATAAATAGAATTCTATTTTAGTAACGTCACTGTGAAGAAATCTGTAATTATGCAACTTTGGCCGCCGATCGCTAGATGGCGCCACCTGTCAACTTCAATTCGCTTGTGACACTTTTGACAATGAATGACATTTATTTATTTATTTATGTTTTGTTTTAGGCAAAAAAGTACAATTTAATTAAAAATTATGTCCCTTGAACAAACGGCTTGCGAAGGTAATTTAATTAAATAATTTAATTGAAATTTAATTTGTGTAAAAGGTAACCTAAAAATATTAAAGAAATTGTTGCAGATTTGAAGGCTTTCGAACGCAGACTTACCGAAGTTATAGCTTGTTTGCACCCCTCGACTACCAGATGGAGAAGTAAGTCACTGACATTTTTGCTTGTAACTTTTTTGTTTTTGATCCGATTTTGATGAAATTAGGCTTAAATTGAAGCCGATTGAATTCTCTACAAATCACTAATTTACAGTTTTGATGTAGCTTCAATAGTTTCGGAGCTACGAGGCTTCAAAGTTGAAAAATCCAATTTTTGATTCATGGCTTGATTGTTATCAACTAACTATCAATAAGTGTGATTGTTTAACAACTGTCAATAGTAACGATTTTTTCAGTTGTCAAATATGATTTTTACAGCTGTCATTATCTGCAATTTCGACGATAAACATCTGATAATTGTAATTTTTGATAGTTGTCAATGATTACAATTTTTGACAATCAACGAATGTGATTCTGACAATTGACAAATATGATTTTGACAGTCAACGAATGTGATTGACAAATGTGTGACAGTTGTCATTGATTACGATTTTGACAGTTGCAATAATCGCGTTTTTTTGACAGTTGTCAAAAAATTTAAATTTAAGTAATCATTTTAAAATATGATTTCAAAAGTCGTTAATATTAATTATTTTGACAGTTTATATATGCGATTTTGACAGTTGTAATTGTTGTTACAACATTGGTCAATAATTGTGATATTTGACAGCCATTGATAATAAATATTTTGACAGGTCCCAAATGTGATTTTGACAGTTTTCAATGATAGCGATTTTAAAAATTGTCATTAATTGCGATTTTTGACAGTTATCAGAAAATTGAAATTTGACAGTTATCATCATCAAATATGATTTCAAAAGTCGCTAATAGTAATTATTTTGACAGTTAATATATGCGATTTTGACAGTTGTAATTGTTATTTCAATATTCGGCAATAATTGCGATTTTTGACAGCCGTTAATAATAAATATTTTGACAGGTGTCAAATGTGATTTTGACAGTTTTCAATAATTGCGATTTTGAAAGTTATCATTAATTGCGATTTTGACAATTGCAATAATTGCGATTTTTAACAGTTGTCAAAAAATTGAAATTTGACAGTTATCATTGTCAAATATGATTTCAAAAGTCGTTATTAGTAATTATTTTGACAATTACCATATGCGATTTTGACAGTTGTATTTGTTATTTCAACATTGGTCAATAATTGCGATTCTTGACAGCCATTAATAATAAATATTTTGACAGTTTTCAATAATTGCGAGTTTAAAAATTGTCATTAATTGCGATTTTGATAATTGCAATAATTGCATTTTTTTGACAGTTGTCAAAAAATGAAAATGTGACAGTCATTATTATCAAATATGATTTCAAAAGTCGCCAATAGTAATTATTTTGACAGTTAATATATGCGATTTTGACAGTTGTAATTGTTATTTCAACATTAGTCAATAATTGCGATTTTTGACAGTTGTCAAAAAATTGTAATTTGACAGTTTCATGTGATTTTTACAGTTGTATTTGTTACTTAAACATTGGTCAATAATTGCGATTTTTGACAGCCGTTAATAATAAATATTTTGACAGGTGACGAATGTGATTTTGACAGATTTCAATAATTACGAGTTTGAAACTTGTCATTAATTGTGATTTTGACAATTGCAATAATTGCGTTTTTTGATAGTTATCAAAAAATTAAAATTTGACAGTTATCATAAAAAATTAAAATTTGACAGTTATCATTATCAAATATGATTTCATAAGTCGCTAATAGTAATTATTTTGACAGTTAATATATGCGATTTTGACAGTTTTAATTGTTATTTCAACATTGATCAATAATTTCGATTTTTGACAGTTGTCAAAAAATTAAAATTTGACAGTTGTCATTATCAAATATGATTTCAAAAGTCGTTAATAGTAATTATTTTAACAGTTAATATATGCAATTTTGACAGTTGTAATTGTTATTTCAATATTGGTCAATAATTGCGATTTTTGACAGCCGGTAATAATAAATACTTTGACAGGTGACAAATATGATTTCGACAGTTTTCAATAATTGCGATTTTGAAAGTTGTCATCAATTGCGAATTTGACAATTGTAATAGTTGCGATTTTTGACAGTTGTCAAAAAATTAAAATTTGTCAGTTATCATTATCAAATATGTATAATTTCAGAAGTCGTTAATAGTAATTATTTTGACAGTTAACATATGCGATTTTGACAGTTGTAATTGTTATTTTAATATTGGTCAATGATTGCGATTTTGGACAGCCGGTAATAATAACTATTTTGACAGGTGATAGATATGATTTTGACAGTTTTCAATAATTGCGAGTTTAAAAGTTGTCATTGATTGCGATTCTGACAATTGCAATAATTGCGCTTTTTGACAGTTGTCAAAAAATTAAAATTTGACAGTTATCATTATCAAATATGATTTCAAAAGTCGTTAATAGTAATTATTTTGACAGTTACCATATGCGATTTTGACAGTTGTATTTGTTATTTTGACATTGGACAATAATTGTGATTTTTACAGCCGTTAATAATAAATACTTTGACAGGTGACAGATATTATTTTGACAGTTATCAATAATTAAGATTTTAGCAGTTGTCAAAAACGCAATTTTGACAGTTGTAAATAATTATGATTTTGACAGTTGTAAATAATTGAGATTTTACCAATTGTCGATAACGTAGTTTTGACAATTATCATTTATGTAATTTTGACAGTAACCTAATTTTGATAGTTATCAATAACGTAATTTTGACAGTTATCAATAACGTAATTTTGATAGTTAATAATAACGTAATCTGCTGTTGGAAATATGATTATTTTGACAGTTAAAAAATGTGATTTTGTCAAATGTGAATAATTGCGATTTTGACAGGTGACAGATGAAAAATGACGTGATTTTGATAGTCGTCAATAATGACTATTTTAACAGTTAACGAATGTGATTTTGAAGTTGTCAATAATTGCGATTAAACCGTTGTCAATGATTGCGTTTATTGACAACTGTCAATAATGTTATTTTTGAACATTGCCAGTAATTGCGATTTTTCATTGATAAATGTGATTTTGACATTTCGTCAACAATTTTGACATGTAACGAAACTGATTTTGACAATCTTCAATAATTGCGATTTTAACGGTTATTGAAATTATGAAAAACTGTCAATTATCGGGTTTTTGACAGTTGTCAATAATTTCGATTTTCACATTCGACGAATGTGATTTTAACAATTTTGACAATAGTCAATAATAACTATTTTGATAGTAACGAAGGTGATTTTGACAGTTGTCATTAATTACTATTTTGACAGTTGTCATTAATTACTATTTTGACAGTTGTCATTAATTACTATTTTGACAGTTGTGGACCACTATCAAAAATGGGATTTGCCAATCTGAAAATATTTACAATTTTTGACAGTTTGCAAATGTGATTTTGACAGTTGCAATTATTTGCGATTTTAACGGTTGTCAATAATAAATAACTATCAATAAAGATGATAGATAGCAATCCTTGGAATGGATTTTGACAGTTATTAGCTAGTGCATTTACGATTTTGACAGTTGTCAATAATTGCGATTTTTGTATTTACGGTTGTCAATAATTGCGATTATTGACAACTGTGAATAACGTAATTTTTAATAGTTGTCAATAATTGCAATTTTTGACAGTTGGCAACAATTGCGATATTCAGTTGACGAATGTAATTTTGATTTTGACAGTCATCAATAATAACTATTTTGACAGTAAGCGAATGTAATTTTGACAGTTTTCATTAATTGCGGTTTGATGAAAAATCATCAATAATTAGAGTTTGATAGTCGTCAGTAGTTGAAATTTTGACATTTGTCAATAATTTGGATTTTTAAAATTGACGAATGTGATTTTGACAGTACTTAATAACGACTATTTTGAGAGTCAAGAAATGCGATTTTGACAATTGCATAAATTGCGATTTTTGACATTGGTCAAAAAATTAAAATTTGACAGTTATTATTATCAAAATGATTTCAAAAGTCGCTAATAATAATTATTTTGACAGTGGAAAAATTTGATTTTGACAGTTGTCATGATTCACAATTTTGACAGTTGTAAATAATTGCGATTTTGACAGTTGTCGATAACCTAATTTTGACAGTTGTCAATACCGTATTTCTGACAGTTATCAATACCGAAATTTTGGCAGTTGTCAGTAACGTGATTTTGATAGTTATAAATAACATAATTTTGACAGTTGTTAATAATGTAACTTGCTGTGAAAAATATAACTATTTTGACAGTTAAATAATATGTTTTTGACACATGAAAAATGACGTGATTTTAACAAATGAAAAATGACGTGATTTTTATAGTCGTCAATAATAACAATTTTGACATTTAGCGAATGTTATTTTGACAGTTGTCATTATTTGCAATTTGATGAAAAACTGTCAATAATAATTAGATTTTTGACATAAGTCCAATGTTACCTTAACAGCTGTCAAAAATGTGACTATTTTATTAGCTAACAAATGTGAATTTGACAGTTGTAAATAATTGCGAATTTGACAGTTGCCAAAAATATGATTATTTTGAGGGTTAACGAATCTGATTTCAAAATTGAAAAAAATGTTGTAATAACATAATTTTGACAATTGTTGCTTGTCCATAATATAATTTTGACATTTTTCAATAATTGCAATTTTGACACAAGTATGTTAATTTGAAAGCTATCAAAAATATAACTATTTTCACAGTTACCGAATGCAATTTAGACAATTGTAAATAATTACGATTTTGACAGTTACAAATAATAGGAATTTTGACAGTTATTATTAATATCAATTTTAACAGTTGTAAATAATTGCGATTTTCACAGTAGTAAATAATTACGATTTTGACAGTTGTAAATAATTGCGATTTTGACAATTGTCAATAACGTAATTTTGACAGTTATCTATAATGTAATTTTGACAGTTGTTAATACAGTAATTTGCTATCAAAACAATGACTACATATTTTGACAGTTGAATAATGTGATTTTGACAAATTTGAATAATTACGATTTTGATAGTTGTCAAATCGTGCAATTGCGATTTGGATAGTTGTCAACAATTGCGATTATCGGAAATTCTCTAAAATGTAGTTTTTGACAATAATTGTGATTTTGACAGTTGACAAATGTGATTTTATCAGATGAAAAATGACGTGATAGTCGTCAATAATGACTATTTTGACAGTTACCGAATGTGATTTTGATAGTTATCAATAATGCAATTTCAATAGTTGATCATAGAGTAACTTTGACAGGTGTTAATACAATCATTTTGACATTTATCAATAACGTAATTTTGACAGTTATCGACTAATTTATTTTGACAATTGTTAACTAAATAATTTTGACTGTTTCTGATAAAGTAATTTTGATAGTAAGATGACAATTTTGACACATTTCCAATGTGACTTTGACAGCTGTGCAAAAATATGACATTGACAGTTTTTTTTCTTTTGCAGTCGTCCTTGCAGTAGTGTCGGTGTGCGTGGCGACCGGAGGCAGCCAATGGATTTTCGATCCGGAAACAAGGATTGTGACGTTGTCACAATCGCTGGCCAATCATCCTTTCTTCATTTTGTCGACCGTCATTCTCGGTAAGTCGATACTCGTATCGATTCCTTAAAATCAATTTTCGATATCGATTCTTGAAAATAGATAGTCGAGTTCATTTCTAAAATTGATACTAGAATCAATTTTTAACGAATTTATTACGATCGATAGTTGAATCGATTTTTGGGTATCGATATCCAGAACATCTCTAAAATTGCAAAAAAAAATGGAAAAAAAAATACAAAAATGATAAAAAAATGAGAAAAATGACAAAAAAATACAAAAATTAAAAAATACAAAAATGAAGAAAAAATACAAAAATGATAAAAAAATGAGAAAAATGACAAAAAAATACAAAAATTAAAAAATACAAAAATGAAGAAAAAATACAAAAATGATAAAAAAATACAAAAATGAAGAAAAAACACTAAATGACGAAAAAACACGAAAATTACAAAAAAATACAATAATAATGAAAAAAATACAAAAATAAAAAAATACACAAACAACAAAAAAAAAGAAAAAATACAAAAATGAAGAAAAAATACAAAAATGAAGAAAAAATACAAAAATGATAAAAAAATACAAAAATGAAGAAAAAACACATAAATTACAAAAATAACAAAAATGGAGAAAAAACACGAAAATGACAAAAAAATACGAAAAATGACAAAAAAAATAAAAAAATTACAAAAGTAACAAAAAATACAAAAATGACTAAAAAATACGGAAATTACAAAAATAACGAAAAAACACGAAAATGATAAAAAAATACAAAAAATGACAAAAAAAAAATACAAAAATGACAAATAAAAAAATTAGAAAAAAATACAAAAAATACGAAAATTACAAAAAAATAAGAAAAATGACAAAAAAATACAAAAATGAAGAAAAAATACAAAAATGATAAAAAATACAAAAATGAAGAAAAAACACATAAATGACGAAAAAACACGAAAATTACAAAAAAATACAATAATAATGAAAAAAATACAAAAATAACAAAAAAATACACAAACAACAAAAAAAAAGAAAAATGAAGAAAAAATACAAAAATGAAGAAAAAATACAAAAATGAAGAAAAAATACAAAAATGATAAAAAAATACAAAAATGAAGAAAAAACACATAAATTACAAAAATTTACAAAAATAACAAAAATGGAGAAAAAACACGAAAATGACAAAAAAATACGAAAAATGACAAAAAAAATAAAAAAATTACAAAAGTAACAAAAAATACAAAAATGACTAAAAAATACGGAAATTACAAAAATAACGAAAAAACACGAAAATGATAAAAAAATACAAAAAATGACAAAAAAAAATACAAAAATGGCAAATAAAAAAATTTGAAAAAAAAATACAAAAAATACGAAAATTACAAAAAAATAAGAAAAATGACAAAAAAATACAATAATAATGAAAAAAATACAAAAATAACAAAAAAATACACAAACAACAAAAAAAAAGAAAAATGAAGAAAAAATACAAAAATGAAGAAAAAATACAAAAATGATAACAAACCTCTAAAATTACAAAAATAACAAAAAAATACAAAAATGACAAAAAAATAAAAAAATTATACAAAAAAAAAATACAAAAATGAAGAAAAATACAAAAATGAAGAAAAAATACAAAAATGATTAAAAAATACAAAAATTACAAAAATTACAAAAAATATAAAAAATACAAAAATATATAAAAAAATTTTCTATTCCAGTAATAATCCTGCTCCTGGGCGTCCACAAGCGAGTGATCGCCGGCTCGATAATCACGTCGCGCACGCGCGAAGTCCTGAGGGACTTCAACATGTCCTGCGACGACACTGGAAAACTCATCCTGAGACCGAGACCCGCTACCTGACACATTTCACTTTCCAATAATCAATAAATATCAATTTTCCAATAAAAAAATGCGTTTTATTTTTGAATTGTACTAAATTTAGTACAATTGGGATTTTGTACTAGAAATTAGTACAATTAAAATTAATAAAAGTTAATATGTTGAAACATTAGAAACTCGTTGAAACATCCTAAAAAGTCGTTGAAAATGTTTAGCCAATTTTTTTTTTTGCAATTTCGATAAATTTTGCAGTTCCAAAAAAAAAAATTCTGCAATTCTAATAGATTTTTGCAATTCTTGATTTTTCTAATTCTAAATTTTTCTGCAATTCTAATAATTTTTACAATTTTTATAATTTCACAATTCCAATAAATTTTCGCAATTTCTTTAATTTCCATAAATTTTCACATTTTTAACGAATTCTTGCAAGGTCTCCAAACTTTTGCAATTACTTTGAATTTTTACAATTCCAACAAACTTTTACAAATCCAAGTATGCACACGTTTTTGCAATTCCAATAAATAAAAAAAAAATTGAAATTTTACCAAATTCTTGCTTTTTTAAAAATTTTTGCAATTCTAAATTTATCGCAATTCCAATAAATTTTTTGCAATTCTAATAAATTTTCACATTTCTAACCAATTTTTGCGATTTATTTAAATTTTGCAATTCCAACACAGTTCCAATAAATTTTTGCAATTTCAACGAATTTTTTGCAATTTTAATTTTTTGTAATTCTAATAATTTTTCACAATTTCAATAATTTTCTTTTTGCAATTTCTTTAAATTTTTCGAAATTCCAATAATTTTTTACAAGCCTCGGTAATTTTGCAATTCCAATAAATTTTTTGTAATTCCAAGGTTTTCAATCCCATCAAATTTTTGCAATTCCAAATTTTTTTTTTTCATTGTTAATAATTTTTACAATTTCAATATTTTTTCACATTTCTAACGAATTACATATTTGCAATTTCTTTAGAGTTTTACAATTCTTTGGAATTTTTGCAATTCCAGAAAATTTTCACAAAACCAAGTACATATTTCTGCAATTCCAAAAAATTTTCAGAATTACATTTTTTTTTTGAAGTTTCAACAAACTTTTGCAACTTTAAATTTTTTGCAATTCCAAATTTATCGCAATTCCAATAATTTTTGCAATTCCAATAAATTTTTTGCAATTCTAATAAGTTTTCACATTTCTAACGAATTTTTGCGATTTATTTAAATTTTACAATTTTCTTGCATTTTTGCAGTTCCAACAGTTTCAATAAATTTTTGCAATTCCATTTATTTTAATAAATTTTTTGCAATTTTAATCTTTTTGTAATTCTAATAATTTTTTGCAATTTCAATAAATTTTTCTGCAATTCTAATAATTACAATAATTTTCATTAAAATTGCAAACAAATTTTTATTGGAATTGCAAAAATTCGTTCAAAATGTAAAAATTTATTGGAATTGCAAAAAAATTGGGATTGCGAAAAAAACATTGGAATTGCAAAAATTTATTGGAATTGCAGAAATATTGAATTTGTTGGAATTGAAATTCAAAGAAACTACAAAAGTTTTAAAGAATTGCAAAAATTCAAATAAATTGAAGACCTTCGTTAGAAATGTGAAAAATTATTGAATGGCAAAAAATTATTAGAATTGCAAAAAAAAATTAGAATTGCAAAAAATTTGAAACTGAAAAATTTATTGGAATTGCAAAAATTTGATATATTTGAGTTTGTGAAAATTTGTTGGAATTTCAAAATATTCTAAGAAATTAAAACAATTTATTGGAATTTCAAAAATTTAAAGAAATTGCCAAAATGCATTAAAATTGCAAAAAAATTATTAGAATTGCAAATTTTTTTATAGAATTGCAAAAAGTTTATTGGAATTGTAGAAATATTTGGGTTTGTTAGATTTGCAATTTTCCAATAAAAAAATGCGTTTTATTTTTGAATTGTACTAAATTTAGTACAATTGGGATTTTGTACTAGAAATTAGTACAATTAAAATTAATAAAAGTTAATATGTTGAAACATTAGAAACTCGTTGAAACATCCTAAAAAGTCGTTGAAAATGTTTAGCCAATTTTTTTTTTTGCAATTTCGATAAATTTTGCATTTCCAAAAAAAAATATTTCTGCAATTCTAATAAATTTTTGCAATTCTTGATTTTTTTCTAATTCTAAATTTTTCTGCAATTCTAATAATTTTTACAATTCCTATAATTTCACAATTCCAATAAATTTCCGTAATTTCTTCAATTTTGGCAATTTTATCCAACTTTTCAATTTCAACAAATTTATTTTATTTTTCAAGTAATTCTGCAATTTCAATAGTTTTGCAATTCCAAAGTTTTTGCAATTCTAACCAAATTTTATGTAATTCCAAATTTTTGAAATTCAAATTTTTTATGCAATTCTAATATTTTTTTGCAATTTCGATAAATTTTCATATTATTAACGAATTCTCGCAATGTCTCCAAACTTTTGCAATTCCTTTGAATTTTTACAATTCCAAATTCCAACAAACTTTTACAAATCCAAATATGCACACGTTTTTGCAATTCCAATGGATTGAAAAAAAATAAAAAAATTGAAATTTTAACAAATTCTTGCTTTTTAAAATTTTTTTGCAATTCTAAATTTATCGCAATTCCAATAAATTTTTTGCAATTCTAATAAATTTTCAAATTTCTAATCAATTTTTGCGATTTATTTAAATTTTGCAATTCCAACACAGTTCCAATAAATTTTTGCAATTTCAACGAATTTTTTGCAATTTTAATTTTTTGTAATTCTAATAATTTTTCACAATTTCAATAATTTTCTTTTTGCAATTTCTTTAAATTTTTCGAAATTCCAATAAGTTTTTATAAGCCTCGGTAATTTTGCAATTCCAATAATTTTTTTGTAATTCCAAGGTTTTCAATCCCAACAAATTTTTGCAATTCCAAATTTTGGCAATGTCAATTTTTTTTTTCAATGTTAATAATTTTTACAATTTCATTTTTCTTCACATTTCTAACGAATTACATATTTGCAATTTCTTTAGAGTTTTACAATTGTTTGGAATTTTTGCAATTCCAGAAAATTTTCACAAAACCAAGTACATATTTTTGCAATTCCAAAAAAATTTTCAGAATTACATTTTTTTTTTGAAGTTTCAACAAACTTTTGCAACTTTAAATTTTTGCAATTCCAAATTTATCGCAATTCCAATAATTTTTGCAATTCCAATAAATTTTTTGCAATTCTAATAAGTTTTCACATTTCTAACGAATTTTTGCGACTTATTTAAATTTTACAATTTTCTTGCATTTTTGCAATTCCAACAGTTTCAATAAATTTTTTGCAATTCCATTTATTTTAATAAATTTTTTGCAATTTTAATCTTTTTGTAATTCTAATAATTTTTTGCAATTTCAATAAATTATTCTGCGCTTCTAATAATTTTTGCAATTCCCATAATTTCTCACATTTTTAACGAAGCTTTGCATTTCCAATAAATTTTTGCAATTTCAATAAATTTTTCTGCAATTCTAATAATTACAATAATTTTCTCGCAATTCCCGTAATTTTGCTAATTTTCATTGAAATTGCAAACAAATTTTTATTGGAATTGCAAAAAATTCGTTCAAAATGTAAAAATTTATTGGAATTGCAAAAAAAAATTTGGGTTTGCGAAAAAAACATTGGAATTGCAAAAATTTATTGGAATTGCGGAAATATTGAATTTATTGGAATTGAAATTCAAAGAAACTACAAAAGTTTTAAAGAATTGCAAAAATTCAAATAAATTGAAGAAATTCGTTAGAAATAAGAAAATTTATTGAATGGCAAAAAATTATTAGAATTGCAAAAAAAAATTAGAATTGCAAAAAATTTGAAACTGAAAAATTTATTGGAATTGCAAAAATTTGATATATTTGAGTTTGTGAAAATTTGTTGGAATTTCAAAATATTCTAAGAAATTAAAACAATTTATTGGAATTTCAAAAATTTAAAGAAATTGCCAAAATGCATTAAAATTGCAAAAAAATTATTAGAATTGCAAATTTTTTTATAGAATTGCAAAAAGTTTATTGGAATTGTAGAAATATTTGGGTTTGTTAGATTTGCAAAAATTCGTTGGATTTGCAAAAATTTAAAGGAATTGCGAAGGTTTATTAAAATTTAAAGAAATTGCAAATAAATTGGAATTGCAAATTCATAGGAATTGAAAAAAATTCATAGGAATTGAAAAAAATTCATAGGAATTGCAAAAATTCGTTGGAAAATGACATTACAGAAAATCATTAGAACTGCATACAAAATTATTGGAATTGTAAAAAAAAAAATGGAATTGTGAAAAATATTGAAATTGCCAAAATTTATTGGAATTGCAAAAATACTTGAATTTGTAAAAATTTGTTAAAATTAAAAATTCAAAGGAATTTCAAATATGAAGATATTGCAAGAATTCGTTAGAAATGTGAAAATTTATCGAAATTTAAAAAAAAAATTAGAATTGGAACAAATTTAAAATTGTAAAAATTTAGAATTGCAAAAATTTTGGAATTGCATAAATTTATTAGAATTGCAAAAATTTGAGGAAATTGCAAAAATTCGTTAGAAATGTGAAGATTTATCGAAATTGCATAAAATTATTAGAATTGTAAAAAAATATTGAATTGCATTGCACGAAAAATTTGTTGGAATTGCAAAAGTTATATACATACCTAAATTTGTGAAAATTTGTTGGAATTGAAAAAAAAATTGCAAAAAATTTGGAATTGCATAAAATTTGAGGCAATTGAAAATTTTGGAATTGCACAAATTTATTGGAATTGCGGAAGTACTTCGATTTGTGAAAATTTGTTGAAATTGAAAAGAATTGCAAAAAATTAGAATTACAAAATTTGAAGAAATTGCAAGAATTTGTTGCAGAAAAAAATTAAAATTGTAAAAAATTTGAAATTGCTTAGAATTTGTTGGAATTGCAAAAATTTTAGAATTACAAAAATTTATTGGGATTGCAGAAGTTTATTGGGATTGAAATAGTTACAAAAAGTTCGTTAAAAATGTGAAAAAT